TAGTCCGTGGGATGGACAGCATTAGTTTTGAGCTAGCATAGGCAGAGAGGAGCTCAGACAGGTAAGGAGGGGCTCGAGCATTAAGTGACTTAAAAACAAAAAGTAGAAGTTTAAATTGGATCCTGTAGGAGACAGGAAGCCAGTGTAAAGAAGCTAAAACTGGGGTTATACGCTCTCTCCGTTTGGTACCAGTTAGCAGGCGAGCAGCAGCATTTTGAACCATCTGAAGACGATGGATGGAGGCCTGATGCAGTATCTGCAAGTAAGGAAAAGGTGAATAACACGCTCAAAGACGTTAGCCAGGAGGTATGGCTTTACCTTACGTGGGCATTTTGCCGTACCAGGGGCAGAAATATTGCCGTTAGGTGCCTTCGTAACTAAATGGGGTCTTCGTAAGCCCGGGGTTCCACTGTATTTAAAAGTAGATTGGGAGGCGGAGCCTTCAGCTTCCACGCCCCTCTTGTGCAGAACCAGCCCCCACCTTTTAAGATTATATTTAAAACTTTCCTTTTTGCTAAAGCACATAGATCAGGTGACCCTGAATCCTCACTTAGTTATGCTGCAATAGGTAAGTAACCAGTTAGCATTTTTTGTTGGTGCTTCAGGACTCGACTCTGTCAGTTATAATCTGCAGTCGTGCTTCTGGCTCCTGTGCGTAATAGAATAGATTCTAGAAATGACTTAATGTAGGCATTTTTATTTCTTCTTACTATTAAACATTATTTATTAAGCTCAAAGGCATAGTCCCTTAAAAACACAAACAAATGCAGTATAAATGAAAATAAAACTGTTGTCGTCTTTTTACTTTCAATTACAAGCAAACGATCTGTTTTGTGTGGAGGCATCCTCTGCATGATGTTAAGTTTACACTGAAAATGAGTCGTAGTGCTGTAGCTTAACACTGGGAGGCGCTAGAGACCACAGATTTAGGTAACATGCAATGCTTTGGCATGTATAAGAACATGTGACAGACAAAGGTTACCTCTTTAAGGGACGGCATTCCTTCCACTCCCACTGTGAAGATGCTGCCGTATCGCATGTTACAACAGATCTCCACTGATCAATGGAGGAGCTTGTAAGGAAAAATGGCGTCATCCTCACAGAAGTGTGTTCTCTTTCAGTTAATGATGCTGCTTCTGAGAGCGCGCTCATAGAGGCTTTGTCCCCCCTACGTTTGTCATTCATTTTTGGCTGTGAATCATTCATGTCCACCGTAGCTCAGTTGTCACAATCGCTTACAGAGAGCCGAGTGGATTTCGTACGACATCGTGTGTGCTTGTCCACTACCAAAGTGTTACATGTAACTGCAGGAAACCCTATAAAAGTCACTCTAAATGTTTTTAAGTAACCTGAAATATTTATTTTCGAATAAAAGTCCACCCATCCAACAATTTGATCTTTTGGCACTCTGAACCACTCAAGGTGGAGCTTTTTTCTTATTTTCAGTCATATGTAGCGTTCCAGTGGTACATGTTCATGTTACATCTGGCTAAAAGGTCAGAAGTGAATATGCAGCACAACATGTGCACAATCCCTATGTGTTAAAGGTTAAAGCCAAAGAGATACTTTCTGTTCTTGGTTCTGTATGTTGTTTGTCACTGAGACCGGATATCCTTGTATGGTTGTCTCTGTGTGAGCACAGAGTCAGCATGCAGGCTCGTCCACGCAGCAGGAAAATGTTTAAATCCTTGACTGTCCGTCACGTCAGACACATTTGGAGCAATGATACGATGCATGTTGTGCTTTTTAGCGTGCAACCTGCAAAGAGAAAAAGAAACCGCGTTATGTTAACTTTTTGCTGGCCTCAAATCGCACGCAATCATTTTGATGAATACATCATCAGCTTTATCTTTTATAACCTAAATCTTACTTATTCAGCCAGTGTCCCACTCATCTGTGGGCCACCACTCGTGCTGTTATCTTCTCCACTCACTTCCTGTTTGAAATGGAAAGGCGTACTGTCGTGAAAGCCAGCCGTCACTGATGTCTTGTTTTGCTGGGATGAGTCAAACAGAGGACTTTCACAGCTGTGCTTTGCCTTTGGCACGTGTGCGCGGTCCATGTTGGACTTAAATTTCAGCATGTCCCACGCAGTGATCGCTGATTTGATTTCTCTGCAGACCTTGTTGGCTCGCTATCCAGTTGCACTCTTAAAGAGCCGATGACACCAGCTTGCAAACTGTGAGGGAAAGCTAAGACTCTGAGCCTTGTTGTTTTCTCGTTTTACCTTCCTTTTTGTCAGCCTCTGATGCCAACCGAGCAGCGACTATGAGCTGTGGGATGTTTTTTTATTATTGATAGCCGTGTAGGAGTCTTCTATCTCTCTCTCTGTGCTGATGCATAAATATTTAATCTGCAGTCAGCTCTTAAAGATGAGGAGATGAGGGGATATGAAGGGCTGGGGTATTAATTGGAGTCCGCGGAGGCCTCGTTGGTGCCGCTGAGTCCCGTCTGGCCTGCGATGTGCACGTTTTATGTGCGCATAGTCAACAGAAAGGTCATCTTCAGACATCCCTGTTCAGTGTGTCTAGGTGATGCCTATCAACCCCTCGTGCAAAGCTGCTTCTGCGATAGACGGAGAGAGCAGTGAGGCGAGTGTGCCGAAGAAGTGTCCCTCGAGGCGCTGCTGCCCTCACATTCACACACATAAACACATACGAGTCAACAGTACACAGGTTGCATTGGTGCAGTTTTAAGTGTTTTACTAGAAAAAAATGACTTGGAATTATAGCGGACATTAGCAATATGTGCTTTATAAAGAAACATGTAAGCCCATAATCACAGTTTCCCTTAGAGGCTGTGGGTTTTTTAACACTTAGGCTTCAACTGTCCCCCAGTTAATGCCCATTAAAACCACAGCAGGCTTTGCCGTCTGGTCTCAGCCGCCAAGGGAAGAGACCGATGCTCCGTGGGAGACTGATGGTTTATTAAAAGAAAAAAGCAGAGCTTTGCTGAGGTGAAAAGATGGTGGGGAATAAAAGATGCTTTTAAAGGAGACTGAGATAAGGGCCATTAGGTGATGTCGCCTCCCTGTCTGCGCGAAGACGCACCCAGCGCCGGCGCCGGCTCTGCCGAGTTTGTGTCAAATCAAAGTCAAAGCGGACTACAGAGCAAACACCCAGCAACACCACTGTCCTCAGCAGCACCAATCACAGCTCCACGTGTGGGGCTGCTGCTGTCTGTTTTAGGGAGCGTGGGTCAGTGTAGCATATCCCTCCTGGCTGTTTTAGAGCCGAGATGATGTTTTATTTGAGTTTTTACAGTGGAAACTTCAGCGTTACGGCTGTCTGACTAAGCTGGGGCTTCTTTTCGGGAAGGCTCATATTTTCAGAGTTAAAAAGCACATATTAAATGGTGCGCGAGTCATCTCTTTGTTGCCTAATCTACTGTAGCAAAGATTTGTTCGTGTCACCGCGACTGAAATAAATGAAATGAAATAAAGTATACATATGCAGATCATGTAAAAACAAATATAGGGCAGTGCTGCTTTGCATTGTGGACAATGAGCACGACCGTCACAGTTTTTCCAATTGCTTGTTTTGTCGAACCAACAGTTTAACTCCAAAACCGAAGATGGGAGTCTCTAACACATCTAATGTGTATATGCACACAGCGTTGTGTCATTTTACTTCCACACTGTCACGGTTTTTCCTACATATAAAATAAACTAATAATTTTGGTGCCCCCGAAATTCCTTCCTTGACCTTCCTTCATATAAGATCTTTGGTTTTGCTTGGTTTGGTTAAGACGTTTAATTTACTCAAGCATGAAGTACATTTTTGCTTACCAGATGGCAAAAATGTTGCACAGCCTCGTCTTTCTTTATGCACTGTGAGTACGTGTGTGTAAAACCCCCAACAGCTTTTTATGATTAGGAAAACTCTAACAGCGTCTCTTATATTGTGATTCCAGCAGTGCAGTAAAAATGTAGCTATTCCTTTCTGTCTGAATACAACGTGTGATCTGTGTGGTGATGCCTTTTAAATATGTTTTTAAACATTTATGTCTTTGTTCATATTTAAACGCATCTTTAAATATGAACAAAGTAGAAAAGCTGGGCTCAGAGACACAAACATGTAACA